AGGATTGTGGAGGAGAATGATGTTGCGCCTTCACGTAGACCATTGAAGAAGATGAGCTCTCCTGAGAGATGGGAAGCGAAGCAGTTGATTGCCTCTGGTGTTTTGAGAGTGGATGAGTTTCCAATGTATGATGAGGATGGAGATGGGATGCTTTATCAAGAGGAAGGTGCTGAAGAAGAACTTGAGATTGAGATGAATGAAGACGAACCTGCTTTCTTGCAAGGGCAGACCAGGTACTCTGTTGACATGTCTCCGGTTAAGATCTTTAAAAATCCAGAAGGTTCCTTGAGTCGTGCAGCTGCACTTCAGTCCGCTCTCACTAAGGAAAGGAGAGAAATGAGGGAACAGCAGCAAAGAACAATGCTTGACTCAATCCCCAAGGATCTGAATCGTCCCTGGGAGGACCCTATGCCTGAAACTGGTGAAAGGCATCTTGCTCAAGAGCTTAGGGGTGTTGGGTTATCAGCTTATGACATGCCTGAGTGGAAGAAGGATGCCTTTGGTAAAACTCCGACCTTTGGGCAGAGATCAAAGCTTTCTATTCAGGAGCAAAGGGAGAGCCTTCCGATATACAAGTTGAAAAAGGAGCTGATACAGGCTGTGCACGATAATCAAGTTTTGGTGGTCATTGGTGAGACTGGGTCTGGGAAGACAACGCAGGTGACTCAGTACCTTGCTGAAGCAGGTTACACAACAAAAGGAAAGATTGGGTGTACTCAGCCTCGTAGGGTTGCTGCAATGTCGGTTGCCAAGAGAGTAGCTGAGGAGTTTGGTTGTCGTTTAGGAGAGGAGGTAGGGTATGCGATTCGGTTTGAGGATTGTACTGGACCGGATACAGTGATCAAGTACATGACTGATGGTATGCTTCTTAGGGAGATTCTGATAGATGAAAACCTCTCTCAATACTCCGTAATCATGCTTGACGAAGCTCACGAGCGGACAATCCACACTGATGTGCTGTTTGGTCTTCTAAAGAAGCTGATGAAACGTAGACTCGACCTTCGCCTGATAGTCACATCTGCCACATTGGATGCAGAGAAGTTCTCTGGGTATTTCTTCAACTGTAACATTTTTACCATTCCTGGAAGAACCTTTCCTGTTGAGATACTATATACCAAACAGCCAGAAACAGATTACTTGGATGCAGCTCTGATCACAGTCCTTCAGATACACTTGACTGAACCTGAGGGTGACATTCTGGTCTTTTTGACGGGACAGGAAGAAATTGATTCTGCGTGCCAGTCTCTGTACGAGAGGATGAAAGGTCTAGGTAAAAATGTTCCTGAACTCATCATACTTCCAGTTTACAGTGCCCTTCCTAGTGAAATGCAGTCTAGAATTTTTGATCCTCCCCCTCCTGGTAAACGGAAAGTGGTTGTAGCTACAAATATTGCAGAAGCTTCTTTAACAATAGATGGGATATACTATGTTGTTGATCCTGGGTTTGCTAAGCAGAACGTGTACAATCCAAAGCAAGGGCTGGAATCGCTAGTCATTACTCCAATTTCCCAGGCATCGGCGAAGCAAAGGGCTGGACGTGCTGGTCGTACTGGGCCAGGGAAATGTTATCGTCTGTACACAGAGAGCGCATATCGTAATGAGATGCCTCCTACATCAATCCCTGAAATCCAAAGAATCAATCTTGGAATGACAACCCTGACCATGAAAGCAATGGGCATTAATGACCTGTTATCGTTTGACTTCATGGATCCACCCCAGCCGCAAGCACTGATATCTGCAATGGAACAGTTGTACAGCCTGGGAGCTTTGGATGAGGAAGGATTGTTGACAAAGCTAGGTAGAAAAATGGCGGAGTTTCCTCTTGAACCGCCGCTCTCTAAAATGTTGCTAGCTAGTGTGGATCTCGGGTGCAGCGATGAGATTTTAACGATGATTGCTATGATCCAGACGGGTAACATATTTTATAGACCAAGGGAGAAGCAAGCTCAAGCAGACCAAAAAAGGGCAAAGTTTTTCCAGCCCGAAGGTGATCACTTGACTTTGCTAGCTGTATATGAAGCTTGGAAGGCTAAAAACTTCTCAGGTCCATGGTGTTTTGAAAACTTCATTCAGTCACGATCGTTACGACGTGCTCAAGACGTGAGGAAACAACTTCTCAGCATCATGGACAAGTAAGTATTTAAACTATTATTGAGCTCAGCTTGTAATGATGATGTATGACAATCGAAGTCCAGTTTCTCAACGTTTGATTCCTATGTTTGCAGGTATAAACTAGACGTGGTAAGTGCTGGAAAGAATTTCACGAAGATAAGGAAAGCAATCACGGCAGGATTCTTCTTCCACGGAGCAAGAAAAGATCCACAGGAAGGTTACAGGACGCTGGTGGAGAATCAACCGGTTTATATACACCCGAGCAGCGCGCTGTTCCAGAGACAACCAGACTGGGTTATATATCATGATCTTGTGATGACTACGAAAGAGTACATGAGGGAAGTGACTGTGATTGACCCAAAGTGGCTTGTTGAGTTAGCTCCAAGGTTCTTTAAAGTCTCTGACCCAACAAAAATGAGCAAGCGTAAGCGCCAAGAACGGATTGAGCCTTTGTATGATCGTTACCACGAGCCTAACTCATGGCGTCTCAGCAAAAGACGTGCTTGAGAGACTTTTCCTTTCGGTAAATCTATTCTTCTTCCTTGCGTTTGTTTTGCCATCTTCAAATGTACTCTTTTTATGTATTGAAAGCTAAAAGCTAACAGAAGTGATGGATGAGCCATAGAATACAGCTGCATCATCGTTTTTTCTTGACATGTATGAAAATTCATCTTTCCTTGTGCTACTCCAAATTGATTATAAATCTGTGTAGGACATTTAGGTATATGTTTATTTACTCATATAGAGGGATATAGATGAAGTATGATGTGAGTATTGGCATTTTTGTGATTAGTTATTAGATATGTCAAATCAGAAGTTCAGAACTATGATAATAGAGCAGTTGAATGTTTACGTGCTGGATTTGCTTTTATCAAAGATTGTACGACAAATTTTGATTTTCTTCTTTTCTTTCCAGAATTTTCCTTATTTTCTAGTAACATAGAAAATGAATCCTTTATCAGCCTGGTTTCTAGCCCAGAACACTAATTCATCAGCTACGACGCTGGCTTCGGTTGGATCCTTTACCGATCATCTCCAGGAGAATGAAAGCCAAGGAAGATCTGCAGCTAAGAATGTGGAATCCCCTCTAATGGCGGAAGCTACGACCCTCCTTCCAGCTATCCAAAGAGCCTTAGAACTTGGATACACAACAATTTCATTTGCTTCAAATTCGCAATAGCTGATCAAAGCATTTAATTTGGGAGCCCAACCGAAGGAGCTCTGTGGGATTCTCCACGATATCTTTTTTCTATCAATTGTTTTCGCAGAAGCTAGCTTCATCTTTATCCCTTTGAGAGAAAAATGGTAGGGCTGATGAGATAGTGAAAGCTGCTTTATCTTCTGTCTCTTTGTATTCAATCTAAGTACTATCTTAATGAAATTAGCATTTGCCCAAAAAAAAAAAAAAATCCTTTAAACAGAGATAAGCAATTGTAAGTTGTGCCTGTATTCGTACAAACGCAGATGTGTACAAACAACCATGAGCATCCGTGCGATTGTATGTTTATGTCATTGTCTTGTAATAAGAATGAATTTGAAGAACATCCTGTGTTTAATTTATGTACAACATTAAGAGTGTGATTGGTATTAGTGGAAATGGGATAGATAGTTGAAATTTTATAAACTGCTGAGCGAGCTCAAGCCGAGAGTGGTAGGAGCAACCAAAACTTGCGGGCTCATATTTTAAAGCTCGATTCGATCCGGGCAAGGCTACAAAATTATTTTAGATTTTTTTTTCTTTTACAAATCTTAGATAATTGAAGTGCCAAATCGAATTTTTTTTTTTTGTTAGATTCAGACAACAAAATAGTGTATAACAACAAAATGGATTTTGACAATCAATGTTAGTTATGTTCGGGGCTTTCGTATTGACTCATATCCGGTCGAGCTTAGGAAAAACTCTAGCTCAAACGACCTAGCTTGAAGTATCCGATTTTTTAAATTTAAGTATTTGTGTCTAAACACTGTTTTGATGAAAAAAAGGTATTGTGGTTTACTCTTTTGTACCAACTAATGCATAAAAGAAAAGATAGACATCAATTATATGAACCTAAGATTGCTTATTACCTAAGATTGCTACCAGCAGCCCTAATAATATACTACAGATAAATTGTTATAGGTGGATTGCTACCGGCAGCCCTAATAATATACTATAAAACTAAACTTTAGGGACAAGATCCGGAAGATACGGTCACCAACCCACTTCGTTTATAAACTAACCGTTTAATAATTAAGAAATAAGAAAAAAGATTGTTTATTTCGTTTGCCAGTCACTCGAAATCAATTAATACCAACTTTTCCATAACAAAGAATATAAAAATACCAAGCTTAACTGTATTCCCAAGTTTTATATTCAAGATCCTATTCTAAAAATCTCCTCCTACTCCGATTATTCTCCGTTTAATCACTAGATCCACCCTATCTACCTCGATTAATGACTAATTCCCTAAAGAAATTAGTTACCCGATTACTTCCCGCCTAATCCGATTACTTCCCGCCTAATTTTACATATCTCGATTATTTTTGGATTGCAAGTATAAAAAAACTTTTTATTTTTGTTATTCAATCATTTAAATTGGGAGTTTATGACGTTTTACAATAAGTTATGTTCAAATTTTTAATAAAAATCATATATTTGTGATAAAACTCATAAAAATTTATCTCAAAATATAGTTTTATGTATTTACTGCAATAAAAATATTAAAATAACCCTAAAACTAATTCCCGATTAATCTCCGATTTTAATCCGATTTTCCGATTAATCGCTAGGCCCATACCGAGCGACCGACTAGCGCCTAGCGATTTTTCAAACAAGGTTTAAGACCAACTACGAGCTTATAAGAAAAATATATATATATATATATATATATAAAGGGAGAGAAGGAGAAGAAGAGTATTACAAAAATCCAAATCACCATTGTAGCAGCCATGAGTTCCGTGGGTGCATTTCATAAGGTGGAAATAGATGAAAAGTCGTATTTAGTATACACATCAACACAAACAGACCACCCAACCTCTTCCGTTGTGGATTCTAGTGGTGATGAGCTCTCTCTCCAACCTCTTTTTTCATGTCCTTATGCACGTATCAGATCTCATCAGCTCAAAGTAGAGAAGAACTATGATGGTGTTAATTTTTTCAAGTTTCATCCATTCAATTCTTACCCTCACTTCCCAAGCACAGGAAGTGGTGATCAACAAGGCGAATATTTGCTTGATTGCGACCACCATAGTATCTGTAAGTTCCCTGTAGTCCCTCTGTTTTGGTGCAACAATAAAAAACCTGATAGTAACGAATTCGAGTGCGGTGCATGCGAAGAGTCAATGGCCAGCACAAGCTATTATGCATGTCTTGAATGTGGAAAAAAGTTTCACAAAGAATGTGTAGAGTCTCCCCTTGAGATCAAACACCCTTCCCACCCTTTTCACTCTCTTCGACTTTATAGTCATCCAACGCATATGGTGTGCATCTGTTGTGGAAGACTTGTGTCCAACATGTTTTATCATTGTGCGACATGCGATTTGAGTATGGACCCGATCTGTGCAATGGAACCGATACCCTTTGTTGTCGACCATCCTAAA